CCTCCTTTAAAGACTTCGAGCACTTTATTTGGTGGGCGGAGGAAGAGATACACATATACTGTAAAAAATGCTGGTTCAAGATCATCATTTGCAGGAGTAGATACAATACAGGCTGATCCAAGTGGTTTTCAAAGGAAGGCTAGGAGAAACATTCGAAGGACTGAATTAGGAGTCAGAGAACATATTGAGAGGAAACACACACTTGGTTCAGAGTCATTTAACAACAGGACTGGGCAAGATAAGGTGTCAAAGGATCATTCGACGGCCAATGGGATTTCTATAAAGAACATAGGCAGGAGAGATGCAGCTTTAGACTGGCCAACCAAGATCAACGATTCAGAGAACTTAACTTCTGGTGCTTCTATTTCTCGGGTTGTGAGCTATGATAGGAAGACCAAGAAGGCTATAGGAAAAGAAACTGCTTTGCAGAGTATAACCAGCTTTGACAAGTCTCATGCTGGAAAAGGCAACATCAACACAAGTCACATTCTTGAGGAGGATGTTGATGCTCCTTTACTGAGTGGAGTTGTTCGTGTTTTTAAGCAGACAGGAATTGAAGTTCCTAGTAACGAGGATGACTTTATCGAGGTAAGATCCAAGAGACAGATGTTAAATGATCGCCGAGAACAGAGGGCAAAAGAAAACAAGTCCAAGTCTAGGGTGTCAAAGGTAATTTGATTTTGCTTAGGTCATAACTTTATTTAATTAGCGGCCCTTAAAAATGTTCTAAGGACATGTTTCTTTCTTGTTCTCTATGTCGTGAACAGGCACCTAGCAAACAAATTTCAGTTTCACAAAACAATGCTGCCAACTCAAACTCTCATAAAGCTGAAATATTTTCAGTTGGTGACACGCCAAATGTTGTTTGTTCTAATCCTTCTGTTGGAGCGGGGAATGGGTCTACTAAACTTGAGCCATCACTTGTATTCACTGACAATATGACATCTCAGACTCTACCTCCAATTGGCACCCCTTTAGTAAATGTTGATTCTGAAAGTGGATTGAATGATTTGAAGTATGGGTTTTTCCTTGATTGGCTTATATTTTGATTTTTGCACAAGTAGTGTCTTAAACTTGTTGTATTTGACAGGTCATGCCAGGTTATCTCTGTACCTGCTGCATCTGAAAGTGGATTAATGCTCTCTCCAGGACCGCTAGACCCCAAAAACATAAATCCTGATCGTACTACGTTGCCTTTGAGTTCCTGGGGCACTGCAAACATGAGTCATCAGGTAGCCTTCTAAAGAAGCAATTTTGTGGTTAATCTTCCTGCTTTTGCAGTTGGATTTAATGTCCCTGTTTATTTTGATCTACATATCCTCATATGGCACAAGCCACATTTTGAACCGTAAAGCTTACAAAAGTGCCTACATCTTTTCATTGATGTGATAGTCTGGTTGGTTTAAAACTAGGTTCTGATATGTACATTGAGTAATTATTTATTAAAACAAACTTTTTAGTACAGACAGATTCTACATGCATGACATTCTGTCAAGTCTATGATACATATACTTTCTGACCTGCAATTTTTAATTTTTCAGGTGATTGCCTTAACTCAGACTCAGCTTGACAAAGCTATGAAGCCAGCACAATTCCGTTCACAAGTTGTTTCAAGCATTGTTCTTGAGCCCCATAAACCTGTTTTATCTGTTGTGACTTCAGAAAGCACCGTTAGTTCCTTGCTTGCTAGTGAGAAAATTCAATTTGGTGAGTATTTTTCTTCTTTACTGTTCAATTTTCTTATCGTCACTGGTCATACAGGTTGACTTAGATTTTTTTTTGTGAGCCCAGGAGCTATAATGCCACCAAACATTTTACCTCCTGTCAGCCGAGCTATTTCCAAGGGACTTGGACCTCCAGATTCATGTAGGTCAGAATTAAAAGTAGGTCAGAACTTGCCTGCTAACAATTATTCCATGTTCTTTGTTGAAGGAAAGTGCCACGGTGAACCTTGTCCAAATCTAGAAGATGCAGAGGCAGAAGCTGAAGCAGCTGCTTCTGCTGTTGCTGTTGCTGCCATTACCAATGATGAGATAGTTGGATCTGGGATAGCTGCATCTTCAGACACCAAAAGCTTCACTACTGCAGATGGAACTGCATTGGCATCTGGAGGTCATAATATAAGTCCTATTGCCTCGGTCCTATTTTCAATGCTTTATTAAGTTACTGCTCTACAATGTAATAATTGTGTATAAGTTTGTAACAGATGTGGCATCTAGCCAAGAAGTAGCTGCTCAATCAGCCAATGAAGAGTCTTTAACAGATGCTCTTCCAGCAGATCTTTCAGTAGATACTCCACTCTCAGTGTGGCCCGCCTTACCAAGTCCACAAACATCTCAACCATTGCTTTCACAATTTCCTGTGGCGGCACCCTCACACTTCCCCGGCTTTGAGATGAACCATATTCTGGATGCTCGAACCTTTGCATATGGGTCTCATGATGAGTCTACTGGTTCCCAGGGACAAACTCATCAATGTCAAAAAGCTGCTGCTTTGGGTTCAGGGTCAGCAGGGGCTTGGCCACAGTGCCACTCCGGTGTTGACTCTTTGTATCGCCCAACATCAGGGTTTAATGGTCCTTTCATCAGCCCTGGAGGAATCCCTGGTGTTCAATGCCCTCCACAAATGGTCTTCTACAACCATTTTGCTCCAGTTGGACAATTTGGGCAAGTCGGTCTGGGTTTTATGGGTGCTACATATATACCTGCTGGGAAGCAACCTGACTGGAAGCAAAACCAAGTATGTTCTACTACTAGTGACAACAATGGTAACCTGAGCAGTCTAAATGTTGTTTCTGGTCAGGGTACCCCGACCAGTGTGCCAGTCCAGAATATAAGCCCAGGATCACCTCTCATGGCAGTGGCTCCTCCTCTGACCATGTTTGACATGAGTCCTTTCCAGGTATGAGTTCTCTTAATTACAAGCAAACACTAGAGAGGATAAATTGCAAATCTTGAAAATAGAATTTTCTATCATTTCATTATTGCTGGGAGTGTTGAGGATACCAATACATGCTTTAAATTGGTGTTGGCATTTGGAATGTCCGGTTGATTGTATGTCCAATGAGATCCAGATTCTGGGTTTAAGGGGTTTGAAACACAGTGTCCATGGAGGACTCAGATGAAGTTGCTGATAAAGAAATCATGCCTGCATTGAGAAAGCATTAGCATAAATTTTGAGTGCACCCTCCCCGTTTCCTCACATGGAAGTCAGTTTTGTGCCAGAGTAAAAATATTGGATTCAGTATATATATCATCAGAAGGGGGAAATATTAATATGCTGTACAATAGATTAGAAAAATTAACAAACACTTTGTATTCCTTGTTTCTTTGGGTTTACTTGATTGATGTGCTTTTATTTAAATGATATAAAGCATTTAGCTTCTTGTCTCGTTTATTTTACTTCTACTAAGTAACTTGACTTCCATTTTTATTCAGCCAACTGCCAATATTCCACTGCAAGCTTGGTCTCATGTTCATCCACCACTCCACTCCGTTCCTTTGACTATGCCACCACAGCAGCATCATGTAGAGAGCAGGATACCTTCACAATTCAACTGGAGCGTTTCAGGGGACACAGCCACCGGAAACCATAGGTTTGGTGAAGCTCATTCATCAGTATCTGCTGAGATCAGTAGGAACATCCCATTTCCAACCTATACTTCCTCTGAGATCTCCGATGGTCTGAGTTTGGTGAAGCAACCAACTTCCAGCACTGCTAATATTCATACAATCAAGCCTTCAGACAGCACTACAAGTGGGAACGAGAAGAAAGTCCCGAAGATGGTAACAAGAACAATTGGATCTGGTGTTGTTGATAGCGGAGGGATTGGCATGAGTAACAGCAATAGCAGTGGTCAAGTGACAGGCCTTCCCACTCAGCAACCAACTTCATCAGGCCAGCAGCACCTCCGTCCGATCGGATATGCCGACCAGCAAGGTGGGGTTTCTCAGAGAACAGGCTCTGGATGCGAATGGCATCATCGTAGGACTGGATTCCAGGCCCGGAAGCAGGTCACAGGTGCCGACAAGAACAATGGTCCACCTAAAATGAAGCAAATATATGTGGCTAAGCCATCGATCAATCGACTTCCAAACCAAGGCCAGACGAGAACTTGATTTCAGCGTACCAAGACCGCTGCCCTTTGCCATAACTATTTATAAATAACAGAGGTGATGTCTCCGCTGCATCTGAGTCCATCTTCTTGTGGAAATCTGTTCTCGATGAACCATGATTTTTTTTTTTTCAATGGGCTTGACGACTTGAGTGATTCACAGGGTTTTCGTATCGAATCTTATGCCTTTTGCTTTGTTTCGTTCATGTAAACTAGGTCTATCGTGTCTAGTTTCTTCCAAATCAATTTTGACATCTATAATGGGCCTGACGACTTAAAAGTAAAAAAGTTAACTAGGTCTATTACAGGCTTGATGACTTGAGTGATTGATAAGGCTCGTGGTACTTACCGGATACATTTTGCTTCATATGTAACTAGGCTTACCATGTTATAAGTTCCTGATCATTCTTTTTTGGTCGATAATTTCTCTGCTGTGTGTATCATGGTTCAAAATCTTGTGTATCGATCAAGACCTGGGATTGTTAGGCTGGTGTATCTACATCAATATGCTGTCTTCTGAACCACATATATATCAGTTCTATACAAGATAGACTGCCCCCGGTTTTTCCTTATCGATACACCATTAATGTAGCAGGTGTTATTCTTGTGCATGCATATAAATGGCACATTCTAACTCCGATCTAAAGCCTGTGATTTAGACTTTAGCTTCAGGTTTATGTATTTGGCAAGCTGCAGAGCTCGGCATGCAACATGTAATCTTCCATTCATCCCCCCTGCAGTTCGCTCGAGGTTGATCAAGTATCGTTACCCCGAAAGCATCAAGTCAACAACAGAAACGACGTGATGTTCTACATCAAATCAGAAAAACCAGAAGCATCAATCATTTCCAACCAACGGTGTCCTTTTCACTCTTAGAACCTAATAATTCAATAGAAATGAATAAGAACGCAGTTATTGTTGATCATAAGAGCGGCAGCATCAGGCAACAGAAGATTACATCGTCCAAAATGAGTTTACCTTTCACTCTTAGAACCTAATAATTCAATAGAAATCAATAAGAACGCAGTTATTCTTGATCATAAGAGCAGCATCATCAGGCAACAGAAGATTACATCGTCCAAAATGAGTTTACCTTTCACTCTTAGAACCTAATAATTCAATAGAAATCAATAAGAACGCAGTTATTCTTGATCATAAGAGCATCATCATCTGGCAACAGAAGATTACATCGTCCAAAATGAGTTTACCTTTCACTCTTAGAACCTAATAATTCAATAGAAATCAATAAGAATGCAGTTATTCTTGATCATAAGAGCATCATCATCAGGCAACAGAAGATTACATCGTCCAAAATGAGTTTACCTCTTGTATCGTCGAACACAATGTACGCTGGACTATGCACAGTCTTCACCTGAACAGCATCTTCATCGAGCCCTTCTGTGGAAGAAAGCTTGGCATTTCCAAATATCATACAGAGAAAGTAATTTGGATTTAGAACATATAAGTGGTCATTATACCAGTTAAGCTGCAGTTTTGGAACCAGAACAAGGAACAAAATTAGCACATCACAACAAGGATTTAGACATTCTTGGCAGTGTTAGACAAACCTCATCCCATACAACTATAAAAATCCACTAGTTACCCACATTGCGAAGATTACCTTGAGCCTTGGTGAAGGCATGAGCACAGATGAAATCAGAGACTGAAACCTCCAAGTTACCAAACCCAGAGACTTAGGTCATCAATTTGCAGCATGAAACTTGGTGCAAAAGCCAGTGACAGCAAAGTTCATAGTGAAAATATGGCCTAATTAGATGGAATGTCCTTTCCAACTGCAAATACTACACATCCAAATACTGACCAGATACATGAGGACACAAAGAGCGACATCAAACACAGCAGGTGTATCTACAACCAGCATTAATATGTTCACGGTATGTTTATACCCCAGAATTCTAGATTAGTGTTACTCTGCAAACTTCAACCCAAGGACTGATTCAGTTGGACAACCATAAGGTAGATTCAAAAACTTCACAACAGAATAGTCTAATAACCATAGCTTGTCCTTTTCATAATCCTCATAAATTCCTCGGCATCGACTTCTCCATCACCTGCATACCACAACAAGCAAAATAAGATACATACGTATTCAAATTACTGCTTATTCTACCATGCATGACTATAATATATTACTATATGCATATACGTATATATACAAAGATAGCAAATTACTCAAAATTAGAATGATCATTCTCTAGAAGCTAAACCTTCTAAAAAAGTAAAAAAGGGAGTCTACTAGGTCCTTAAATCATAGATAAACATTTCTTAAGCTCTCCCTATGGCTCATTTTTCTCTCCTTCCACTTAGTCATGTATTGCAAATTGCTCTTCAGTTACCGCCCATAGTTCCAGTTTCATACTTATGTACTGTTTCCAACTCAAGCAACTTTCAGTGATTGAGCACTTAAACTATATCCAGTTTTTTTTTTTTTCATCACAATCGATGTGACCTACATCACTTTAAAATTTTAATGTACAGAAAGATTTCATCTGTTTATGGAAGCTACTTGGTTGTTTGTTGTGACTAGTGCATACCAGGACACAGATTGTGAGTTACCTTTCCAAAACAATTGTCATTTCCTTCTCAAATGCTCTTCACTCAGACTTTTGCCGGTCATTCCAATTATGCAAGTAACACCAAGAAATGTATGCACAAATTTCCATTTTTGCAGCAAGCCCCTATGCCGATAACATATCTACATAGAAAAAGCACAACCAATATGATAGCATGCTGGAGTGCCAGTGGTGCTGAACCAACATGATATTTGCAAGCCGATACAGGTTGGCTGAGAAAAGTATAGCCGATCATTGACTGAAGCCTATATTCACATCTTCTTTACAGAGGGTTCGTGATCATCATCTTTCTGATCAACCATTAGCAGTAATTTTTGTGAAAGAGATTAATAATTATAATACAACATGCTCAGGATCATACTCTAAATGGTAAATCAGACAAGTCACAGCCACAGTCTAGTTAGAACTGTCACTGCAGCAAAAGAAATGGTCCTTACCATTAAGGTCTGCTGCTTCTATCATCTCTCTTATCTCGCTAAGTGTAAATTTCTCACCCAAATCATTAGCAACTCGCTGGATATCAACATCAGAAATTCTCCCCTGGACAGGTCCCAGAGTGTATTAGAAATATCTAGGCAAAATTTATATATATACAGATATAAGTTTACACATTGATAACGTAGGATATTAGAAATTTCACATTGTTATCCTGGTCAAGAATGCGAAAAGCTCTCGTAAGTTCTTCTTTGCTGTCCCTTTCTCCAATCTTGGCTGTCATCATGTGAAGAAATTCCTCGAAATCAATCGCTCCATTTCGATCTTTGTCTATTTCAGTCATCAAACGATTGATATCCTGTGAAAGAAATTGCATTTGGGACTCCAATAAAATGTGGTCATGATCAATTAAAGATTTAGATGTACTTCTAAAGAGAAGATAGCCTGCAAAATATAAATAATATCCGATATCATAAGAGATTATAGATCTTTTCCTCGTAAAGGTCCTAAGCTCAAAACTTCAGTAACACATGTAGTAATAAACCATATTTTCTTTCAACAGACCAAACAGTTCGATGGGCTTTTGTCAGGTTGGAGGACCTGCCTACACCGCCAAGAACATGCAATTCGTTCAATCAAACAATGATATTTTACACGATATTGCTTAAAGTCCTCTCTAACAAATCAATGATATTTTTTGTGACAGATTAAGCTATAGCTGAAAAATGATCTCCATTATCTTTCTGTGCATCCCATGAATAACTAAGCTAATTAATTATCTTACTTCTGCTTGATAAAGAGCCTAAATGACAAACAGATTGATGGGGAAAGACGAAGACAACAGCAAGCCATTAGCACTCATGAATATAATTGGAAAGAGGAAAAAAAAACATCGCAGAATTAAAGAAGATAATAAATTGTATTTAACCTCTTCTGTCATTTCAAACCCCAGTGCCCTGCAGATAGAGAATTGTGTTAGCACAACTACATCACAATTCAGGGTAAAGCAGAAGAATATAGTAGAAAATCCACTGAGATCCTTCAAACAACATGGCATTAACACCTCATGGCGACATTCAACTCCTTCGCGTCAAGGCTGCCTATAGGACAGATTAATAGGGGTCAAAAGGACGATCTGAAAGAAGAAGCCCATAAACGAGTAAAAAGTCCACATCGAAGTCCGTACCAGATTGATCGGTATCGAAAAGGTCAAACACCTCCTTGATCTCCTGCCTCTTCTGTTGGTTCAATCCATGATGGCGAGATCTAGGTTTTTCCCTCCTGGAACCCATCCTAGAGTTAAGACTTGCCTACACCACCAACAACATGCGATTCGTTCAATCAAACAAGGCGCTCTATCTCAAAAAGAAGATCGAAGAGAAGACCAATCCGAGATCAGATGGGCGAGGAGAAGTACCATTGCGTCTGAGATGGTTTCGCCCTTTCCACCTCCCGATTTGGGGACGAGAAATGGAAGCGGGGAGAAAGAGGGGGGTGTGTGCTTTAATAATCCCACCTAGATTAACGGGTCGGATTCAACAAGAATGCGTATAGACTCGATCCGGACCACTCTCGATCCGCCTCCGCCTCCTCCTGCTTAAACTCATGTAATATACCTAATGGAATCGGGGCGGGTTTGCAGAATGGGTTAAGCCCGACCCGTGTTCAGGTCCGGTGTTGACCCGAACCCCTCGAGCTCTTCTGCTACGATCTCCATCGGCAACTACAGCTATTTAAAGAGGGTCATTTCCTAATAATAAGGCAAAATGGATATGAAGCACACCAACACACAATCAAGAGAACGATGATGAGATGCATAATGGATATGAAGTATTACCTCTTAACTGATAAGTCCATGGATATTAACATTTAGTTTCATATTAGTTGAAGTATAAAAAAATATTTATAAGTCTATCAGATTATTTTTATCCCTAAAAATATTTTTTAATGTTTATGAGTCTCGAAAATATAAAATCGTATAGATATACTCAAAGCAAACAATTTATTATGAGCCTACGAGATCACATCAATATAAACAAAATACTACTTATCAAAATAATATTAGAATAAACCATATGATCCTTACGAGCCTTTGGAATTGTACCAATATTGATAAAATATTACTTATCACTAAACTTATAGTTCAATTCAATTAACATTGAATTCCAGGATAAGAAAAGTTTATACTTGTAGCCTATATCTATTATAAACAGATAAAAGAACAATGGTAAATAGCTTCACATGACCTAAGCACAAGCTTTATATCTACAATTAAGCAGTTACCAGAAACCTTTGATACACTTGTCTTCCTGCAACCACAGTTCATGTGTGCATGCATTGTGCAAGCAAAATTAGTAGGATGTGGATGCACTTGTAGATGTCCATGAGCCAAAACAAAAAGGAGGATTCATGAACTTCTTATTATAAATTGTAGAAGAGTACTTGATTTTGATTTAGTATCAGTTCTAAAAAGGATGTATACTTGAGACCTGAAGAGATGGTACAAAATCAGCAATTGGATTGATTTGGCATGACATTGATTTCTCTTCTTCTTAACACAAATTGGACAGCGGCTGGAGTTGAGAATGGAAGGGTTTTTGTCATACAAGCATAAGTTCAAAGCATCAGTATCATGTCTAATGCTGTACAATGCTTGTCTAGGCAATCTTTTCTTCTTGAAAAAAATGTTTTTTTTACTGCTTGTAGCTACTAAAAATAAAATATATGAATATTTCCATTTTACTCAAAAAGAAACTAGAATAACTTCCTCCTGGATAATCTTTCCATGATGCACAGGTGAGAGAGAGAGAGAGAGAGAGAGAGCTAGATCAAGATGAGACCATGATACCAAAATGAACTGTGACCGAAAGAGAGAGAGAGAGAGAGAGAGAGATAGAGAGAGAAAACACAAGATTGCTGAAGGCACTCACAAGAAACCAAGACTTGGGCCAACATACATAATAACCAAGGACTGCTAACGATAGGTAAATCAACATATGAGATTAGAAACAGAGAAGTTGGTTCATACACAAGCTTCAGCTGCCACTCCTCTCACACTCCTATGTACATGTTAGTCTGTGCTAACACAGAAGCATCCAATTTGGAACCAACATGATATTCTTGAAACTCGTCGGTATCAGTTCAACTCTGCATCTTCTTTGTGTGTAAAAAATGATATTAGAGCCAGCAAACATAGTCGACATATTATGTCTGCTACTATGCATCACAAGCTTCACTTGACATTCCCATAATTCAACTGTTCACCTCCTGATTTCCACACACTGATGCCTGAGTCTCAGCAAGCAAAACACCTGCACTTATTTCTGATGTTCTGCCAATAGATTCTGCAGTAGTGTGATCTTCATCGGAAGTTGGTGGTAGAAGTGATTTTCTAGATGGAACAACCTGAAAAGTAATCAAACTGAAGATATCAGTTTTAAAATACATGAGAAGAACATTTTAGTCCAACTTAGATATATAAGTAGCAAGCACTATGATCAATGAGTCCACCCTTTACTTGATCATTGATTGGTTCATGAACCACTGCATTCCCCCGTCTCCTTTTCCTCCATACTCGACTTGACTTTTTCCCAGCTACAAGCTCATCAGCAATAAAGTTTTGATCCGATACTTCTGCAATATAAAGTTTCAATTCTCAGGTTCAAGTGGATGATAAATGACTATAACAAACTTTTTGAATTTTCTTTCCAAGGAACAATATGCAAAGTTCAAAATTCATAGAACTGGAGTCATAATGCATTTTGCATCATCACCAAAGTTCTCGAAATATGCATTCTTCTGGAAATATGCTATTTGTGGTGCTTCATGAAGAGAAAAGAGCTCAAAGAAAAGATAACAGGAGTGTGATCATTCAAGAAATAAAATAGATGAGCAAAAAGCAAAAATAAACATAGCAGTCCAGTGCAATCAAGATACACTAAGATGGGTTTTCCTAGGATGACAAAGCCTTGCACAACCAGTAAACAGCTTAAAGATACATATGATACATTGAAAACTTACTCAACATGCAAATAGAATACAACAGTGAGTGCTTTACCGCTTCTTGCATTTCTAATGTTGTTTCAACTGTGCAACACCACTATATTCAGTCAATATACTGCTGCATGGTCAACAATAGATATCAGCATGCACATAGCACAAAAGTATACAAGGTTTATTTTAACCAAGCCTACCATAATATATTCTATTCCTAAGCTTCCTTTTATCTTCCGAAACAGTGCATATATATGCTAGGGATTAAACACTTAATATTTTGGGTTTGTTGTATATTAAACCCCCAAATCTTCAACTTTGCTTGTATATTAGTGAATTATAGCCCCAAATCCCTCAAAATTCTCATTATCAACATCCTCAAGACCTCAATATTTGCTTAATTACAACTACCTTTGACTAGCCAAATATTTATTTTCACATCCTTAATTTGTTCTCAAAACCTAGTGGAAAATAGCAGTACTATTTGTCATTTCAGCAAATTTCTCAAAACCACCTGAACAAGGTATTTAAAGAGAAGACAGAGAGAAGAATAAACGACGGTTTTACCATAAGCAATGGTGTCATCATATCTCAAGAGATCAATTAGTTAAGTTTTCTTTCCAAACTAGGTGATCATCTGAAAATCCGTAGATCTTACAAAGAAAGAAAGCATGTGCTCCTTATAACAGTTTTTTTGTCCTCCCATGGGGCAAACCAAAGCAGACAAAGACTAGATCATAAATGTTTAGATTAAGTCAAGAATCCAACTGAAGTTGGTGAATAAGTCTGAAAGAAGCATGTCTAGCACCGAAGACTGAAGCAAAGCTGGCGAGAGAAATCAGAAGACATTTACAAATGAGATTTAGCTTTCTGAGGATGAAGGTACAAATTCTCCTTGAACCTTTCTTTAGCAAAAAAAAGTCAATTTTGATGGAAATGTAGCTGTCTTAAACTCTTAATCATTAACCTTTAACCTGGAAGCAAACAGCTATGCTTCACCTTATCCAACATCTTTATTTGAAATTCATCCATATTTAGAATATAGCACCGTCATAACAGGTCTTGTATGTTTGCAGTTTACAAATCATTGTACAACTCATGTGTAGATGATGGTGATCATTATTCATTGACACCAACAATCCTTAGAATGGTTAGTGCAAAACACACATAAATTCTGCCTTATATGGAACAAGAATCCAGAACGAAATGAGCTTTATGACAAACGGTGAAGGAAAAGGAGTTACATACAAATAAACAAGACAAGTACCTATGCTGCTTCCAACCCAATCTTGATGACAAATGTGCTTTGAACTTGTTGCTTCACCATCACACCTCTCATTTGCTAGCTGGAATGATGATTTAATGAACTCAACATCATCAACCCTGTCAGAAGACTTAAACTGCCACTCCTTCATAAAGGGAGGAGATCGAAAATGTTGAATCCAAGGATTTGCAGATAAAGGTAGAGAACCATTCTCCATGCTTGCATGGTTATTATCACCATCAAATCCGAGACTCGCCCGACAACCCGTTTGCAATACCTTAAACTGCAGTGTTAAAAGTGATATGTTATACCAACAGACGAAAGATACCACCTGGGTAGAAAAGGGAAGGGGACATCTTATCACCTGACCAGATTTCAGATCATTTTCGTATGGTCCACAGGATCCCTTGTGGGTTTTTATCCTTGATAACTGACCAAGAAATGCCTTTGAATGGTATTCCCCATTGTATAAGTCATTAACAAAAGATGCTTCAATGGAGTTAAGAAACAGTGTGTGTTTCTCATCTGTCCATCCATTTGATAGAGAATCCACCAGCCGAGAGTCCTGAGAAATTAGAGAGATGCAACAGAGTTAGATTATAGGTAACATTCAACAATCTATAGATGGAACTTTATTATGAAACTAATAGATCACGGAGAGATAAGAATCAATAGTAAAGGCAGTTTTGTTTCACAAAATGCAGCTAGTAAGATTGCAACTCATTATTAAGTTATATGACTTGAACAGAGACTGAGTGCAGAGTGTGTCATCAAGTCAGCATGGCGGCCACGTCACCCTCTTGGGGTTTGAACCTGTAACATGGCACCACTGAGGACCGAAGTGCAGGCCAAACCATGCAGCACTTGCTAAATATCCTAAATGGGGCAAGGACAAGAGTGGAGTAACCAGTTTGGCATTTTTTGAGGGGTACCACCTCTCAGACACAGATCTTTCACTTGGACGAGGCATCACCATCACTCTCCAGAACCTTTCATGAGCCACAAGGGATCCCAAGGCCATGGATAGAACTGAGATGTTGGTCATTGCCCAAATTGCACTCTGATGCCCAGCCCACTAGCATATTACTGGTTGATTACCTTCTACTAAGGCACAGCCACTGCCCTCAGAGGAATCTATTGCTTATGAAAAGGGTAACTTCCAATTATTCAAGGTATGAAACAAATTCCTTAGCTACCCCATGGCATTTCTCTCTTAGCTTCAAGCTTGGCTGACTAGGCATTGAAGGGACCTGCTGGGTCCACTTTGATTACCCATTGGTCTTTCCCTTGTATTGCCGAGCATCTACCTGCTTCCTTCTACCTTTGTGTTTAATATACCAGTCAGCTAAAGAAGGAAAAAAAGAATCTAGGAGTTGTAGACCCCTCAATCATGGATAGCAGATACACATCTATGAGAGCTGATGGCAATACAATAAAAGATGACATAAGGGGTACAAGTGAGAGGGGAGAAAACAAGTCTGATAGCATGCTTAGACATTACTATAGGAGCTGAACCCTGATATTCTTTTTCACTGCATGTATCCAGCCAAAACTTAGTTCGTGTTCCCCTTTTCGTAAAAGATTAGGAGACTCCTACCAGGAGGAATCTGTGAAGAAGTTTTAGGTTTAAAAATTTAGTAATACTACAGTTTTCTACCTATTACACTGAGAAATGATTCTCCCCTTCACCTTCATGTTTGTTCTAGAGAATCACCCTTACAGATCTTGGACTTGATCTCACAAGAACTTCCTGCAGAATTCAAGAATCGCCTCACGACAAAAGATTTAACAAAGAACCGGATACATAGTAGAATTGCTCTGATTGCAAGATGACATCAATCTCAATTAAATGAACCCATCAAATCCACTTAAGCAATAACAGAGTTGGTGCTACGAGGTAACCGAATTTAAACAACTGGTAAGGATCCTCTCCTCCCTAAACAATTTACCCTTTTCCCTAAATTCGCAAATCAACCTTTCTCTTGGAAATAAAATTATTTTCACCTGTCTAAACCAAAACAAAGCAACTCCCGTGGGTCCTCTTAGCCTCAAGCATCAATATATTTCCTCGATACCCAAATCTCCCCTCCCCTCTAACAGTGATGTATAAACAACCAAATCAGAAGAGTAAAACGTACAAATCGGTAACCATCCCACCCGTGGATATGTTTCGGTCAAGAAAAACCTAAGATTTACTGGACCACAAGCACCCACCTAGATTCCTCTTTAATGACCCCTGCCATCAGGCCGATCGATTCTACAACAAAAATAGGAACCAAGAACTGCGCATTCGGTGAACGCGAGGAGAAATCATCAGTTACCGTGCTCGGGCCCTCGATCGTCGACATCTCCTCAACCGCGCTCAACCGGTTCGAACGACTATCACCCATGTACATGGAGATCTCTTCCTCGGTGGCGTTCCTTCAGGATCAAACGCGAAAAGGATAAACAACACTCCCTCGATATCTGCCGCTTCGGTTGCCTCTCGTTCGCGACGACGAAGGAAGAGAATAATGGAACAAAGAAGAACCCGATGCAAAGACTATAAACTCCCCTCTTCTCGGAGAAAATTACGAAGGCCCCCTTGGACACCGTTCATTCCATTCCTTCTTTTAATCTACACCGTCCATCTTTCTCTGTGAGAACTAATTATCCAAAAGTTAATCTGATTAAATAAAACGGGCGGTCGAGATTAAGAGAAAAAGTTGGATGAACGGTTTAAAGACCTCCGGAGTTTTCGGTGGGGTCCAGGTCTCTGTCGGGCTTGGTCATCGCTGTGCCACGTGGAAAGACGGCCCTCTGTCAGCGTACGTGGCGGGGGTGATGATGCCTAACCAGCCAGATATTTTTGAGGGCGGAACGATGACGTGGCACTTCGCCCACGGGTTTCAAACCCACCCGGCGAACGAACCACGCTTACTCTTCCTGATGACGTATAATAGTTAGAGATATAGTATAATTAAGGCAATAGTGAATCAATTAATGTTCAATTGATTTGGGATTAGGGAGAAAAGGATGTCAAATGTGGCCCAGTCAACGCTAAACTGGCTCAGCCCAATATGGATTTGGCTTAATATTAAATTGATTTGAGTTTATGGAGAAAAGGATGTCAAATGTGGCCCAGTTAGCGTTAAAGTGGCTCGGCCCAATAAGGATTTGGCCCATTGAAGGCCACCGTGGAGTCGCCTCTTAACGAACCCTCCTTGTAGTGAGAACATGAATGTCCCCAAATGGAAGCTTCTCAATTGATCTTTCCGGCGTCGCTATAATTTTCATGGTCTCTCTTCGGCCCGGATCATTATAGACAGGGTTGGAATTAGGGTTTCGGAAGCGTTTCTGCTATCTCCGAGCGAGCGATCGAGCGAGAGAGGAGCGAGGGGGGAGGATGTGGCACGAAGCGCGGAGGTCGGAGAGGAAGGTCCACGACCTGATGGACGCGGCCCGGAAGCGGGCGCAGCGGCGGGCCGTGTACCTCGCCAAGCGTCGCGGCGACCCCCAGCAGTCGCTCCAGGTCGCCGGGTCCCGGTGCCGCGTCTACCGCGACGACGGCTTGTACCAGGCCGCCCAGGACCAGCAGGGATTGTATGTTCTCGCCCCCCTTTTCCACGATCGCTAGGTTTTGTTCTATTCGGTCATTTGATGATTCTATGTTCTCGCCCCCCTTTTCCACGATCGCTAGGTTTTGTTCTATTCGATCATTTGATGACTGCATCTTCTCGGTCCCCTTTTCCACGATCGCTAGGTTTTGTTCTATTCGATCATTTGGTGCTTTCCCAAGTCATGTAGAATTTACACTTCCGTTGGATATTGTTTAGATCTTTAGGTAATTTCTTATCTCTTCCCCGTTGGAACGTTTTATCGTGACGATGTGAACTTGGGAAACGTATGTTTGACTAATTGGTCTTGCTATTGAGCTGCTCTTTTGGTTGGCAATACCATGCAATGCGATTGCATATTTGTATGTTCTAAGGTGACGAATTTCATAGTAGCGGAGGCCTCTTTCAATTGTTATACTTCGCAAAAGTAGGAATTATAATCTTTCCAAATTAAAACTATTGCACTAGTAATGTGGAACATCTTGTCATGAATAATTTGTAAAGAGAGCACCGTAGTGATGCAATCAGAATCTAGGAATATGAATTCAGTAAATTTCTATCTTATAGGATTACAACGCATTTTATATGTTATATTGGTAATAGATGCAAGATGACTTCTTTTCCATTTAGAGAGTTAGCTATTAAGCTTTAAGCTACTAATGCTTGTGCTCGGAGACATTGTTCCAGCATGCAAGTAAGATCACTAGAGATGGTTTGTTGGCGCTTCTTTCTTATCATTATAACATTGTTTTTCATTACTTGCTTCCTTGATATTTTTAGTATGTTGCTTTCTGCACATATATATATGTACATATGTACATATATATATATATATGTATATATATTATTATTTATTAGTATGTTGCTTTCAGACCTATAATCTTATTTGAACTGTGATGAACCTTGTATCTGCCATCTAAATATTTATCATAATTTGAGCCCTTATTCCTATTGCAGGATACCATGGAATGGAAAGCAAGATATCTTGATCGACAGGTAAATCCTTAGATACTGTGAAAATCATATAATTGTGGCAGCCATGACAGAGCTTTCTTATTGTGCTGGACAGATTTGATGGCCGCGCTCTTCTTGATTTTATTCGTGATTCTAGTTCCCGTGCTTATCGAGTTCAAGAGAGAACTGAGGAAGAAGAAGAAGTAGAAGAGTTTGTTAATTTCGAGCGTTACAGAGATTTAATTAAGCTTCGGCGTAGAGGATGTCGGTAGTTTTGGACTTTTCTTCCATCCCAGTGTTCTAAGAGATTCAATATTTTTCAGTTAATTTAAATTTCTGGTGTCTGTTGTTGGTGTAATATTTCCATTTTAATTTCCAAATGTGGTAGTGCATAATAAAATATACGTCCATCCACAGTTACTGATGAAGATGGTTTGCGACATGTTCACCAAGAGTTGGAGGCAAAGAACTCGCTTCCATTTGCATTTGAGAGGTACAAGTGCCATTTTGTTTTAATCTACATCTTATTTGGTATCGAAAAGTTATAACCTACATATCATGTTAGGGATGTGAGGATCTATGATGGATAGTCATTTAACCAGAACTATTGCCTCTTGAATTCTGAAATTTTGACACCTCTTCATTTGTGTCTTACAAGTTTTGAATGAGGTTCAAGTTATTAGATTGTATATTGATTGATCTAACTAATCAGCAATTCAAAATGTTATTGCATATGAAACTAAATCTACACAATGATGGATGTGTTGTCATGTGTCAAGTATTATGTGAACAGTGAACTTTTATTAATAGTTTGTGAGGCTTGTTAGGTGATGAACTAGGAACCAATTTCATGAGTGTTTTAGTTACAGTGCGTGAGGACCTTATGTCACTATGTTTTTCAATTGAAGCCATGCAGAATTAATGGTGTATACCAAGATAAATTGTTTATACTGCTGATTTTGTTTTTATAAATATTGCTTATTATTCTGAGACACAAGTTCTGTACATTAATTACCATTCAACTGATTAGTTGGTTTATAAAAGACCTACTTTTTGAGTTGGCCTACTTATTGTAATTTACTTTATTTCCATCCAGACCACAGTCTACACAGCCCCCAACAAGCAAGGGTTCATACTCACAGGTGGGTTTCTCCTATAAGGGGGATGGCCATGAAGAATCCCACCATGTGGACAGTGGAAACGAGGAAGAGGAAGATGATGAAGAAGATGATGATGATGATGAGAAAGATTTCAGTAGTGATGATAGTAACGATGAGAAAATGGAGACTATTTCTAAAGAATTTGGCATCAAGAGATATAACTGGCTTGTTTATATGGACAAAAAAGCCAAGGAGGAAGAGAAAAGGCAGAAGGAAATAATCAGAGGAGATCCTGCTATTGTAAGTTCATGTTCATGTATGTGTGTGTGTGTGCGTGTGTGTATATATATATGTGTATATATATATATATATATATATATATATATATATATATATATAAACTGCCAATTGAACCAATTCTTTTTAATTTGCCAGAGAAAATTGAGTCGCAAGGAAAGAAGGAAAGCTTCTCAAATAGAAAGGGAAAGGGAAAGGGAAGCAGCACGTTTGACAGGAAGAACACCCCATCATGATCCCTACCGGTGAAGTTACAGGAGTTACATTTTTCCTTTTTAAATTCAGTTTCCATGGTGTGATGGGTCTATCTCTAAGTGTTGTCAGTGTTATGTTATTTATATTGATTGCAAATGCCTATCAAAATACAGGGAGTCTCGCCGAAGTCCCACATATGAAGCTTATCCCAGGAGCAGAGGGTATTGTTGGATGGCTTATATCTTGGAGTAAAGATAAGTTCATTTGGTGCTAGATTTTGCCTTTCTAATATTGCTGGTTCTTTTCAACAGATCAAGATCCAAGTCCCGGTCATATTCACCTCCGCATTCAAGACGACACGAACGAAGTTTGCGTGCTGATAATGGGCATCAAAGCAAGTCAAAGCCTCCCAAAATTGAGTATATCACAGAGTTTGGTGGTACAAATGATTTGGATGATCAAAAATTTGGAGTCTCCCCACCATCATCTCCATTGCAAGCTGATCCATTGAACCGGTCGGGGCACTCGACCTTTAATACTTGCAAAGATAGATTGGGAACTTTTCTCTGCTGCAGCTTATTCTGATGGTCATTCTGGTTTCCTAAAGCTGAGTATATGGGGTTCAGGGTTTGGAACTTGAAATCATGGCATGGATTTCTTGGGTCATTGCTTGAGGGTGGGGGTCAGTAGTTGCTCAGATTTGAGTGTTTTTTAGGTTGAGGATTTGGAGCTAAATTAGCATTCTGGACCCTTTTCATAGCTTTTATCACTACATCTGTCCTATGTGCAAAACTATCATGTGATCACTTCAAGAGTTCCTGGAGGGATCACAACCAGTTGCTATCTGCAATATCACTAATTATTTTGCATGCTTGCAGGTTATCAGGTGGTCGAATTCTTGAGGCGCTTCATGTTGATCCTGCATCTGCTCTGTCTCTTGAACAGGAAAAGAATGCAAAAATGTTGAGACCATCGGTCAGGTAGACCATTATCTAGTTCATGCTATTTAGAGCTGTTAAAAGTTGTGGTAAAGATAGTTCTTATCACTGTTTGAGCCTGTCTTGTCTAGTTATCATTTGAAACATAAAATCAACTGTTGTAGAACCTATCATCCATGCTCAAAAAGCTATTGCTTCTATAAAATTAACTAAAGGGGCACTTGGCTAGGCTTTTTTGAAGATTTAGGGCCATTGATGCTCAAATTTTGGGCTTATTATTCTGTAACAAGGCTTAGATTTTTCATGATGTTTGGAATTTCTGCTAATGTATCATGATTTCTGGCTTGGTTTTGGTTTTTGGTTTTTTCATTTCAGCTCATCATCGTCAGCAATAGCAAAACTCAGCAAAACTCCTCTTGGGGTATCATCCAAAATTCAACAGGGCGAAAAAAAGGAAACTCCTCAAGAACGCCTCAAACGGATAATGAGTAAACAACTGAATAAACAAAGTAAGGTTTCTGACTTTGTGCCAGCAGCACCATGTGGTTCTCTCGGAAACCAAATTCTTTCATGAACAATCTGAGAATCTTATTGTTACCGAAGTCAGCCATCTTAGACATTAAATTTGGCATGTGGCCACTTTGTGGTTTTGTCCCAAAGTATTGGCCATGTTAGACATAAATTCTGGCATGTGGCTGCTTATGGTTTTGTCCTGCAGTTCGTAAAGATACTGCTGCTGAGATGGCTAAAAAGCGGGAGCAGGAAAGACAGAGACAGGAAAAGCTTGCTGAAGCAAGTAGGATAAGCCGCTATAGCCATCGTAGTCGTAGTATAAGTTACAGCCCTTCTCCACCAAGGTAATAACTTATTTTTTGTAGAATGGAATTGCACTGTTGGGTTCCAACTTTGCAATTCCTGTTGTGTTGTTTGCCAAAATTGCTTACTGAATAAACAGCCACTGAGCTGGTGAGCTCAAAGTGTCATTTGGTTTGGCTTTTATTAATGGCATAATCCATAGACAGATTTTTAGTTACTCCTTGTTTTGCATCTTCCTTTGTGGCAACCTACGGGTGCATGCATTAAACAGTTTTATTTTCCTGTCCCATTGATGAGTCATTTTCACTGTCTACTTAGCTGTTGAAAAGATTCTGAGGCCATTGTTGACCTCTGCTTTGATTATATTCCACCGCATGTGCCTTCTCTGCATAATTACTAAATTGCCTCATCTGCACCAATTGCGCTGCCATGTGATGACTTTGAGATCAATTTGATATTCTTCTTTTCAACACTTTTACTAGCTTGTCTGTCGATGCTCTTGAAAATTTTGGAAGGCTTCTTCAAACAATTCATCATGCTTGTCTTAGCAAATGATTTATGGGTTCTTTTCAGATCTCTTTTCCTGCTTTGAACTTTTGCCAGCTTATATGATATTTTTTCATACTTCAATTCTACATTCTTTCTTGATGTAATATGCTTAATATCATCAACCAGATCTTAGTTTTTCTCTCGCCTGAACTGTGAATGTTTTCTGCAGAAGACGGCGTCACAGTAGAAGCCGTAGTAGAAGCAGGAGCCCCAGAAGAAACTATTGTCGATCGCGGTCTCACTCTCGTTCTCATTCCCCAAGGTAATGAGATATTGCACCCCCTTGGGTACCTCCATCTTGGACTGAAGAGATGAAAGCCCGGATTCTTATTCAGATTTTATGTTGCAGATCGAGGAGCCGCACTAAGTACTGAAGCATTTTTGTCACGCGTTGGTCGGCGGAGGCAGCTGAAATCTCAGAAGTCTTGTGGAGGTCTGTGGTTGTATCTGTGCTTTTGATGTTTCATCACTCATAGGTGATAATGACCAATCACGATTGAGTTTATGGTGCTTTGGTTGGTTGATGTCTATTATTTTTAGTTGTTGTAGATGCAGAAGTACCTAATGCTTAAATAGTTTTCAATATCTCATCACCCGTTTTTGGATAATATATATTAGTCAATATTCCAAATATCGCTGCATCTCAACTGCTAAGTTTCATTGCTGTCAATAGACGCCAAGCATTTCAATCTTCCAATGTAGCAGTGCTGCATCTCAATCTTCCGGTATTGTGTTTTCTATCTCTATCTATCTGCTGCTTCCCTCTTGGCCACAATAATATAGTGTGCTCTATCGGTGTCCTCTTTAATTACGGCCATCATCACGCATATCATTCGTATGCCACCTCTTCACGACTTGCGCGCGCGAGTGGGTAAGCACGACAAGCACCTCAAGACTTCTTACTGTTTACTTCTCTTAAAGATGAGAAGGCATCGTCGCATCTTTGATCGGCTCTGGAACCGCGAGATGTAGCAAGTTTGAAGGCGTAGTAATCCACGGTTGACTAATAATTAATGGAGTTGATCTTGAAGACGGTAATCTGATTCATCCAACTCTTTGAAGGGAGCTCGATGTTTATCTTAATTCCCATTGCAAGTACTAAATTGAAGAGCAATTTATACGGAGGCAGAGAACCAGAAGACAACAAAAAGAACGGAGGCGAGACAAAGAAAGAAATCATAAACTGCTCCCGTGGCATGTATTATGTTCAACGGTAATCTACGATAAGGTAAATGACCAGAAAAAAAAGTACAAGAACGATTTAAGAGGGAGGCAAAGTAAAGGAAGAAGAATCGGCTGAGAGAATGGTGAAGAACAGTACAAAAAAAAGAAAGTCCAACATCAGAAACAATTGGTTGAAAATTAGAGCACAATGTTACAGGAAAAAGCATGAGAATTTTTTAGGAGATACAGTCCGACACTGACAGCATAATATAAACCACAACATAAAAATTACGCATAATTCGTGATACAGTCGTACGTCTATGACGTATTGGTTTAAAGTCCATCTAATTTGCACAATGTAGGAGATATTCACAAGTAGGTCTTGATAACTTGAGAAGACAAGGTGGATGATATCCTGAGGGACACCACAATTTCATGGCAAATAGATCTCCATGCCGATGAACTTTGAGGAGTTGCACAAAGGGCAGAAGCTAAACTTGCTCTCACACTCTTTGCACAGGCATAGATGTCGGCAGGGCAATAAAAGCATGCACACCTCGTTCACCCTGCAAACCTTACAAGCCATGGACTCCACATCCTTGTTCTGCTTACACATAAGCTGCAAATCGGTGTTCCCGTTGCAACAAGAGGCTGTGTCATCTACCTCGCTGTCACCACACCCTTCCTTGTTGTCCTTGCTTTGAGCATAGAGTTGCTCCAGATTGCACTTGAGAGAATTTATCATGCTCTCGTTGTACTTTGCCCGTTGCTGCCACACATTTACTTCCATGGCGACCTGTTTCATCTGCTCCTCGAGTTCCAGGTTCTTCTTATTTATGCCCTCCACTTCTGATTCTTTCTCTCTTATCTTCCTGAGGATCTTCTCCTCTACAGTTGCTAGAGTTTGGAACTGTTTCATCTGAACCTTCTCTAATATTGATTTCCTCATACGCTCACCCTATGCAATTCGAGAAATATGCAAGTGATTTTTATAAGTGCAATATAAGCTGATATTCCTAATTGTGGACAAAATAGTGCAAGGTTCAATAAGTACTTTTCCTGATAAAAAAAAATGATGAGGTTAGTTTAGTAGATATGAACTCCGGAGACTCGAGAATAAAAGCGAACAAAGGAAACAGACTTCTATATCTTTTACCTGAGTTATGTGTGAACGATAGTTCAATTTGCAAGAAACACATTTGCTGTTGTAGGAAACACTTTTTCTCAATAATGTGAAAAAGAAGAAATGATGTATGCAATGGTTAAAACTGCTGTTTTCTGAACACATCATTCATTTTAGGTCAAATATAACAATTTTGCCAGACATACGTACTTATTCACATCAGGATCTTAACTAGGAAATATCTTAATTATTTTAAGCAACTCTATCTAGAAGTAAATATTGCCGGTAAGTGACGTACAAGTAGGAATAACTGAGCAGCAAAAGATTTGGCCCAAAATGATTTGTGAAGATGGTTTCATAAGTGAGACGAATTGGAATTACTTGAAAGAATCACCCCAGTTGATATAGAGAGTAGAAGACCAAACCCTTGCTTTATTTTTTCAAACTGTTCTCAAGTTAACATATACAAAACTGCAGTTTATTTTGTTCACTATAAAAAAGTGTGTAACAAAATGAAAATTGAGTCCGAAACAGCATATCAATTCCAAATTTATAGTTGGCCAAATTCATCGTGTATTATCGAAGGCCTTTAGAAACATAGGTTACATATTGGATCAACAAATTCATCGTGAGCTCTCTTTTTAAGTTTTGTATATTGTTGAATTACTCTTAGAGATGAATAATTTCAAATGAGTAATAACCATTACAAATAAAATGATCTGAATCATAACACACAAACAATATGCAAATGTAAATACATACATACCAACACCTAAATATTTCTCACCTTATAAACAAGTTTGTCTCAAAAAATAAAAAATGAGATCTTATGTCCATTCCTCAAAATCATAGAAAAAGAAGATGAAGAAATGGAATAAATAGATTTCCAAAAAGCTGAAAAACCAGAATCTTCAGTCAAATCCATCCAGATGGGTTCTAAAGACAATATAGTCCTGAGGCAAAGTCATTCTATATCATATGTATGAATCATAATAGCATAGATCAAATATACAACATTATAATGCACATAACAAATATTTTTCAAAGTTTAAACACCTCTGCATAGGTCAGGTCCTCGATGGTCCACTCTCCAAACAATGAATGGAGAGGCTTTACAACTCTTTATTTTCCCAATAGTAGAAGGAGAGGATCCGTATGACACTCCTAACAATGTACGGAACGAAGTCCATCGCCTACAAAAATGGGGATACATTCCTCCCCATAGTAATAAGATGGTGGAACCATTTAACCACCATTTTTAATGGTAGACTAATCATTGGTTTGCCTGTCCCTAGCTACGAAAAAAATATCCTTATATATTTATTATTATATATCGTATTTATTCATGCATGCTTTCTAGCAAATATTTAAATGTATCAAGAAAATATCATGGTCTAATAGTATCAGACCCAGCTTGATAAGATAATTGACTTATTAAGTTTGTTGAGCCCAAACTATTGGTTCAAAATGCTTAAGCTGAAATTAACAATAGTACATCCACCAGGCTCTTATAAGTTAATCTTAATTTTAGCTCGTTTCCGATGTGAGACTAACTAGGGTGTTATAATCTCTGTCACTTAAGGGTTTGATGCCTTCGTCAAGGCCCGACATAGCTCAGATCAAACCCTAATATGGTGCATGTGAGGCATAGCCCAATGGTGACTTCACGTTATGACATGTTCTCTGATCTCGTCCACGAGTAGTCATTTCCTACTTGAGCCTCTCACCATGCCCCAATACTATGTTGGCTTTGATACCAATTGTTATTACCGGACCTAATGAGATAATTAACCCATCAACTTCGTTAAACCCAAATCATTGGTTAAAAATGTGAAGCTGAAGTTAACAATAGTACATTCATCAAACTATGATGAGTCAATCTTAATCTTAGCCCACTTCCAATGTAGGACTTATCGGGGTATTACAAATAGACCATACTTGGCATATGATATCAGAGATTTAGTTCATTGGCGGCTATGCACCATAATAGGTTCTTAGCTCTTTTCACAGGGAGCACTTCCAACATGAATTATTCACCATAACAACATATACCTCATGCACATACAAATGGTAAAAATTTTGTTAATCATGCATCATAATATCAATCTCGATCTCAATTAATGATTAAACTTAAAAAATGATTAATATAAAAAATCATTCCACAACATCAAATAAAATCCCTTAAATTTGCTAAACCGACGGATACTATTCCCCAAGATAAATCTGAACATGAGCTAAACAGATCTAATTTCGAGTTGAATCAACATGAACTGATTTGAACTAATCTGGAATCTCCAAAAGCTGGCCTGAACCTGTCTGATTTCGAGTTGAACTCATTTATAATCAAGCTAAAAACAGCCCTGAACCGACTCAAACTGGTCTAGAATCACTCAAGATTGGCCTGAACCATTTTGAAATCAGCTGAACAACACTGTATCAATTGAACAAACTCGGACGAGCCCGATTTGTTTTGGGCGACATGGGGTTGGGCCACTGGGCCGCATCGGGCCACACTTGATTGCATCGAGCCATTAGGCCACAACGGGCCATGCTGGACCATGTCAACCTGGTGGCTAGTCAAGTTGGACCTGATGAATATACCCAACCCATCCCAACTTGGTCCACACTAGGCTCGACCCGTGATGGATCCAACTGACTGGTTTATAGGGTCAACCTAGATCAAACCTGACAATCATCCCATTTTTTTATATATTATAATTTCATCTGTATAGGATTGTCAAGTCATTCAATTATCTAGGTGACATAACATGTAGATCTAGTAACAAGTTCTGAGATGGTAGAACTTCGAAAACATATCTATCATTAAAAAATGAAGACTAGGCCAGTGGAACTTAAGGAAGAAGCCTAAACAAAACATGCATGCCGAGGATATCAGGGAGGGGAGCATAATATGCTTTCTTATGTGGAGATCTCTTGGTGCTTAACTGACATCTTATGGATATGTAAAACAAGAATCAAGCCATAAAGAAAGATATAGCATGCCAGTTCCGAAAGGCTGAGCAACTTTCCTGGTGAGAGATCTGAACACAACTTTCTGGTTCAAAGATATGGTTCCTTGAACGGTCACCACTTGGATTCAGTTATGATTCTTTAGCTCACAACACGTATTACAGAAAACCATAGTCCCTCAAAAATCTATTACAAGCTTAATTGACACAAATCTTGAACGGAAGAGTTTAGATTTTTCAGGTTGACAACAAACAATTCGCAAGTATGTAACTTGTGCTAATTCCAGTCTCCTATTGTTCCACAGAAAAAAGGAGCAAGCTTTTCAACATACCAGAATCGGTCTGAGAGTCAAATAGCAAAGCAAGGAGAGGAAACAATGACATAAGGAAATCCGCGACCAGATTATCAAGCACAACCAAACTCAAAGCAGGCAATCAAAACACACTGACCTCGAGCTTGATGAACTGATCCATCTCCGCGTCCATCCTCTGCACCTCGCGATCGATGTCCTTGTCCACCGTAGGGAGGAGGAGAAGCGGCGATTCGCCGGACGAAGCTGCGACCCTCCGGTCGTCCAACGAGAGGCCCAGCCCAGTGGACACGGACCCCGTCTGAAGGAAATCGATGGAGGAAATCTGGGAGTTCTCCAGGAGGTCCTGCTCCTTGAGCCGCTTCCTCCTCGGCTCCCAGCCGCTCGATCCGCCGTCCGCCGCAGCGGCGGGCGCGGCGCCTGGCGCGAGGCCCATGACCCGAACGTCTACCGGCGAAAATCAAACAAAAAAATCGAAGAGAGAAAGGTAGGGTTTCAGCACCACGCGAATCGAAACAAGACATCGAGAAATTGGGGGCGGGGGGAGGTAGATTACAGGCGGGATGGGAGGGATCGGGGTAGGCCGCCGGGGTGAAGTCGATCGGGGCGGAGATTTGGCCATCGATCGGCACGAAATTCCTGCACTTTTGTTGATTCATGAGACAAATTGGGATTTTTGCGACTTGCGAGGAAGAAAGAAAGGGAAGAGAGAGGAGCGGGAACCTGAGGGGAACCGCCTGCTGCTGCTGCTGTGGCTGTTGCAGGTGGTGGTGATGTTGGGAGAAGAACGCCATTGGCTTGGCGTGAAATGATTGGGGAGCGAAAGGGGGCGGAGGACGACGACGACCTGAGAAAGAGAGAGAAAAGAGAGAGAGAGAGAGAGAGATTTGTGAACGTTGTGACCAGGGGTGGGGCAATTGTGGGATACGCTGTATATTTTCGAACAGCAAACACAATTTTTCGGCAGATGTCCGTCGAACTGATGACTCACCGCCTCTCACTCGTTAGATTCAAGCAAGGTTCTGGATTTTCTTTCCCACCTGGCAAACGGACGAGAGCTCTCAGGGGAATACCCTGTATCCTGGATTCATTAGCACATAGGATTGACACACCCTTCTATCCCATCCGACGATACCTGGAAGTTGACCCAGCGCAGGAACTTCAAAAAGTTGACCAGTCAAAATAACCCCAAAACCAGTCGCCATATCTCGGCGTTGACTGCATATTTCATTGGAACGACATCATCGTAATAATAAGCCTTCTGTTAAATTCGTGTGCCTTTCTTCCTAGAAGATGGCTTCAGCTCCAGACACACGAAGACATCATCGGTCCCATGGCCATTGCAGGTCTTATGGCTCCACGTACTTCAATGAAACAGGGGAACACGCAACACTCCTGTTCACCAGAAGTCTACTTCGTTGTTTGGCTTCACGACCTGCGAACGATCATGATCGCAGGACGAAGCAACTCCATGGCAATCTGTTTTCCAGGCTAATGCGCTCGCGATCCTGTTACAGATCACGAAGAAGCGACAACGTTTACGGAAGAGAGTGATCCAGTTTTGCAGTACGTAAGACTTGCAGAAGCAAACAGTGTAATTGCAGTGGAACTGTGCGCGCAGCACCGACTACTGTGGTGGCATCCCTACACGAATCCGTGGATTCCGAGATCATTCCTCCGTCAACACAGGGAGATCCTCTTTTGTCAGAGCTCCTGATTCCTCTGCATCTTCTTCCTGTATGCGATTAACCAAGTCCAACCTTCTGCGCTATACATAAAGATCTCTAGGTAGGCATGTAGACGTCGGCCCCCCGGCTGTTGGCAGTCATGGCTGGCATCTGAAAGAGCTGTCCACTACTGATAAACAAAGGCCGAACACTAATAGCTCGCTTTTGTTTAGGAGAAGCAGCACCTTTACCTACTGCAATACGTTCGTCTCCTTCCCTAACCTAAACACCAACTTGTGTTCCTCGCCCCAGGGGAAAGAATCATGTGCTTCTATTCCTACGGCTACTCTTCACTCCAGTTGAGGTTGTAAAGTGGTTCTTGCCGACAACCCCACGCCAAGTGCTCATTAACAGCCATCCAAATAAATGATTATGTCTGTGGTGGAAGGACAGTAGGGAAGAATGGGCGTCCTAAGGGAGTCGGCGAAGGGCCAAATTGCAGCCGACCAGGTCGATAAGCCAGGAGAATTGTTTAATGGAGATGGTGTCATTCCGGTCAACCATGGTGCTGATGCAAAGTGAAGATAATTGTATTCTGAAGACTCGTAACACGAGCGCACACGAGGCTGTACCTTGCACAACCTGGTCCAAGCAGCAAAAGGAAGGGACGGGAAGAAGAAGCATATAGCATACCTCGAGTCCCTCCACCGTCCGTTTGTTATTCCCTGTGATCAAACCAAATCCACTATAAAGAGCCAAAGAGTGGTGAGCAAGGAGTATCATCCTCCCACGGTTCTCCCCCGTCCTTCTCCGTCTCTCTCTCTCTCTCTCTCTCATGGCCGCCGCCGCCAACTCCTGCATTATCCCTGCTTTCCTTACAGTCATGATCGTTGCCTCTGCAACGCTGACCGTCGATGCGAGGCGCCCGCCAAAGGACAACGACAAGCCGTGCGACGGTAGCGGCAAAGCAGTAGTAGCTCACGGCGTAGCTGCGCCCTTCCCTGCGCGAGCACAAGCACATACCACTTCGGCGTCGGTGATCGTCGAGGACGATACTCGACCGACGACGCCAGGCCACAGCCCCGGAGCAGGCCATTCTCTCCACAACAAGGGCGTCGACAAGAACGTGTAGGGTGTGTGGCTCTCTACGTCCGGCTTCAAGAGTCCCTTCTACGTTCCATTATGCAACATCCAAAGCCTAAGCTTCCCTGAACACCTCCAAGGTTTACTCCTCCAACAAGCTTCGAAAGACCATTACAATCTGGCAAAATGCTTCTTGTATGCTGTGATATTTTCCTGATTTCATGCACCGAAGTGGAAAAGATGTTACTCGGTGGTAATCTACATTACAGAGCACAGTGCATGAGATTTCTGGATCTTGGTAGGGTTGATACACACAATCTCCTGTTCTTGCAAGCAAAGATTCTGTTCTTGCGTGTGTGGCAGACACTTCACCAGCCACTTTTTCTGCTGGAGTCCACATAAATCTATTTAAAGAGAATAAAGAGACTTGTTGGAGCACCTAATGAGTCGAGAACCAACAAAATTGAAGATGAAATGTACATTGCAACAAAGTGATGAATCCACTTTCCATCACTCATCCATTTCCTTGATGAGTTCATGTTGCTCCACTTCCAAACCATTATGCCCCCCAAGAACAACCAGTCTGGATCATGCAATGACAGCTGTGTTCTGGAGTGCCATTAGATATGTCTAGTGCTCTAGCCGATAAGAAAATGAATTCAGAGACATTTGGAGGTTGCCAAGCAACACATGGAGGGTGGTACAGTTGCTTGGAGAGACTTGAGGTGGTCATCGCCTTGCAGAAGCCTGGTCTCCACCTTCCTTCTGGGCAATCAAAAGGACCTCAGAGTCAAGACAAAGGTCGAATCCAGAGGGATCTCTTCATGCTACATGCTATCAAAACTCAAAAGCATGCTATGAACCTCCAATCACCAGTTTTCTAAGCCTGGCAACACATGAGAGGCCATTACATGCCTAACGCGAAACATTGGATTCAAAGGTATAGAGGAAAATTCTTGTAGAACTCATGCCATTAGTTGGAAACAGCAAGAGGACCATAGTGACGTGGCCAAACTGATAAGCATCTCATCTCAGTTATTCTCCACTAATTGTTGAGAATCTTTTGTTACGCTTTTCTTGCTCAGCTGCATAGTTTACTGCTCTTTGAAGCTATGGAGAATCCGATTGATCTCAATTTTCATTTTCCTCAGCTCCTGTTTAATTGATGGCTTATTGTCCACTAAAGCATGCAGTTCCTCAACACAAGGAATGCTCATCAAGAAAATAATTGCTGTCAATTTCAACCTTTAAGGCAATGCAATTCATGGGTCGAATCATGCTTTCCTGTCCTTTAGAGTCTCGTTTTGACTGCGTAAAGTAAGTCTGACCATGATCAAGTGGTTCGTCTTCGGCTTCATTGAATTGGATGACGTGGACTTGGGCCCAGCCAAGTTACGACCTGTACATCGGGACGCCGACACAGGTTAAACCGGTACCGAACTCAGTTGTCGCAGTCCGGTATAAAACGCGGATCTGGTCAAAACCGCCGCCCTGGTGCCTTGCCCAGGGCACGAGCACTAATCGACGGCGATTACGTCTCTTATATTTTGATCTGACGGTCAATATCAAACCTGGCATCGAATCCGCCTCCCTATTTAAACCTTTCGTCGCCCCCCCCCAAGATCTCCCTCTTCTCTCCTTGCTTGCCTCGCCCGCCGTCCTCATCGAAACGGCGGCGACGATGCAACCGGTGGCTGGAGTCGATCCGCGGCGCACCCCGTCGCCCCAGCCTTGGACGGCGGTGCGGTACCCGGCACCGGCGATGGTGATGCAGCACCCTATGATGGCGCCGCCGCCGCCACCGCCATACGGGCATCCCTTCGTTCCCTACCCCCATCCCCCGACGCCTCCGCCTCAGCCGCCGTCGAAATCGAACCGCCACCAGCAGGGCGACGAGGCGGCGGCGGAGGACGAGAAGCGGACGATCTGGGTGGGGGACCTCCAGTACTGGATGGACGAAAACTACCTCCTCAGCTGCTTCGTCCATACCGGTGAGGTGAGGATTTATCCTTTTGCTGCTGCTAGATGCTGTCTTTCTTTCTTATGTGATGGGAACGCCTTTTACTTCTCTTGATTGATGTGAACAACTGGATCTTCCTGCTTCCTTTTGTCTGCTTTGTGGTAGTTCGTTGAAATATCTGCATTTGTAGGCCATTTCACTTGCCATCTGCATAGACAAGCTGAGTTAAAGAAGTATTGTTTGACTTAAATCTACATGTGATGTGGATATTTCATAATTTCTCAGAGTAATTTTCCTTTTAATAGACGGGCTTAAATTTTATGCATTAATCTAATACATTTGGTCCCAATCTTTTGTTATAATTAAGTTTAGAAATGTCAAATTTAACAAAGGGTTCGCCCGTTAAGGAGTTATAATCTGTAAATTGCAGCCCTTGCTGTCGTTCAGATCTTAGACGGGATCTGAAGGCAATCATATCATAGAAATTTTATGGATGAGTAAATGTGGTGGATTCTGTTCAATCCTGGCAAATTGACTGTGGCTAAATAATAAATTTTAAACAAGGAAGGTGATCCTTTGGTGAGCAGGTAAATGGGAGAAACAATTTGAGCAAATTTGGCAGCAGCACTTAGGAGCTAGGAAGAGTTAATGGAAGAATCTTGAGACATTACATAGTTTACTATGTTAGTGTGCTTTCTGCACAAATTAAGAAAAACTCTTTTTTATAGTGCTACTTTTTCGTTTTTAACCAGTGTTAAGGAGTTGATTCTAGACTAAAGTAGCATTTTCTTGGCTAGCTGGCATCATGAAAACTCAGAGAATATGTCTTAACTAACATTTACGGATTGATAACTGTTATTGTATTCTTCACATGGTATCTTTTGGTTAGACAATAGCATGCAATGTGGTAGAGATGTCTGTAATTTTTCGGTCTTATGTAAGGAACACAATAATTATTTTCTTGTTAGATTTTTCTTAAATCGGAAGGATTAAACCACATATGCCTATTTTTGTGCTTGGTGAACTCATTTCTAGTTTTCATCGCATGCACTGTTTGTCTAATTTGAACAAGAAGATATTTTCACTTAAATCTTTTGAGTCATTTTTATGGTTTGTTGCATCTATATAATACTTTAAACTAATCTTGTACCTTTTA